TTCATTTGCATACAAGGAGGTGGTGCAGAAATATAAAGGACATGTGTATTAAAGGTGCTGCAGACGGAGACTCGCAGCTGGCAAGGATTTATGTATTCAGGGCTTAACCTTGGGTTAAATGCTGCAATCTAGGCAGATCCTTTACCCGCAGGGCTGCTACTTAATGTCGAAATGATTAAGTATACGCCGCGTGGTACTTTACCGGCAACACAATGCAGCGATTATTTACCCTAAACGCAGCATTTTAGGCCATAAAATGGAAAAACGAGAGCCTACACAATAAAAAATTAGATAAACTCGAGTCTTGGTTGAGAGAAGGATAAAGTAAAATTACCATACCATCGTTTTCAGTGTAAAAGGCGTAACAAAGACAAACGCGTTGAAACATAAATCAGTTGCTTTACTGAGAACATTCAGCACCTGAACATTGAGCAATCAAATGGTGCGAATTCCGACAATTAGGAAAGCATGCTGAATGCCTTGAGTCTTGGAAATTTTTCAGTGCCGGCAGGATGCTCATTAAAATTGCAATGGAAATTTTTGCAAATGACAGCCGGCAAACGTAACGAAACCAGACGAATCCGGGCTGGACATTTTCAAATCAAATCCATCCCTGGTCCTGGGCCAAGTCGCATTTCTTTATTTGCTTCTCGCTTTCGTTCCGACATCGTCGAGAAACTGAAAAGCCTTGAAACTGTCAACTAAAAATAAATCGCAAAGAGCTTGCTTTCCTCTCTCTAAGAGTCTCGACGACCCCAACCATAATAATTATAATTTTGTGTTTTGTGAAGATGCTTTGACTTTTATATGTGATGTTGTTTTTATTTATTCGGCTTTATAGATATGCTCCACCGCATATGCTCTCTCTTCTATAAATTTCGCGTGCAGAAAACACTAAATCTAAATGTCTATACGTCTCCATGTATATAAGGAAAAGCCACATTCCGTGGGCATGTGGTTGGAATCACAATGGAATCGACTAACAACTGGCGAGCATAAGTTAATATACTTAAGCTGCTTAATTAAATAAATTCAGGAAAAATGCCAAAGTGAACAGAATGGGCAGGGGCGTCGCCTATTTCCAGTGGAAAGGGATACAATAAATTAAATGAAGCAGAACAGAAGCTAAAATTAATTATGTTGCTTTTTGAATAGAATTATGCTCTCATATTATGACTCATAAACACACCTATTGGCATGACAATATAATAGAGTTTCAATTAATTACTTTTCTGTTTTCCTTTTTAATTTTTAATTTACTAAATCCTACTTAATTGCTAGTTTCCAGTGGCACTGGAATCAATAACTGTGCCACATCCGCCTCCATCAGCGCCACAAAGTGTATACCTCCTGCAATATTTAGCTTTCAATGAGGAAAAAACAAATCGGGGACGGCACATGCCAAATATCCCAAGCCAAATGAAAACGACGACATCCAGACAAGCCGGCGCCCAGTATATGGATTTTCCTACTGAAGCCCAACTGCAATTCATGTTTTTCACCAAAGACAACTAGAAAACTAGAAAACTAAATGGAAAACAAAAGACGAATGGAATAGTTTCAGAGCCAAAGAAACATTTCACATGCAAATTGCTTTCTGAATAATTAAGCATAATGACGTTGTGAGAGTGAAAAATTAATTGGAGCTGTATGGCAACAGTAAGGATCAAAGAGAGTGTCTGTTCTAATTATCCTTGCATTGATTTGACCATAACCCGTGCTCGTAAATAGCATTCCATTTAATTTTTTCACATTCTGTATAATTGCTCCGGCGTTTGAAAGTGTAATTACCACCACGGGTGGGTGATTTTCACACTTTCCCCATAAAGTGTTTAAGTTTTTGGTGGAAATGGAAAAAAAAAGTTCTCACAATTCAAGTTAAGCTTCTTTTTTGTGTGAGTTTAAAGGCTTAAAGTTGTTTTCCCCTTTTTTTGCGGCTTTATGCTGTGGATTTGAATAAGCTTTTGGCAGTCGAGCTGTGTAATCCCAGCGGTATTTATGAGGGGTTTTTTAAATATTATGAGAGGCCTGAAATAGAATACAATATAAAAAGTTAAAAATGTAATTAGTTCAATCATTTAGCTTAATAACTAGGCCTCTAAACAATGCCCTATCAAAAATAATAATCACATTGTTCATTCAAAAATAATGTTTTTCCCACTTTTGGCATTTGAAATTATCGAGTAAATAAACAAATGCACGAGTATATTTATCCATTTGTGAATGATTTCATTTTGTTTATTTGGATAAAGAATTTATGGTCGTTTTAAGAGAAAAAAGCCTCTTTATAAAAGCAATTAATTTCATTGAATATATTGAATTAAATGTTAAAAATTAATTTATCAATTCCTCCCTTCCCAAATGAATTAAGGTGTTTTTTCATATTATTTTTTATGAAGAATATGCCAAAGTCATATAAGCCTGAAAACACTCTTTGATGTTCAATGTTATTTTTTGCAAAAAAAAAAAAAAAATACAAAAAAAACCACAGGAAAAACGCCAGGCCTGGAAAATGTAACAAAGACCCCGAACAAAAAAAAAAGTGAAACCGAAAAGCCTGTATGTTTTTGTTTCGAGTGACGAGGACAAAAAAGGAAAATACCAAAAGAATTGCCAGATGTAGGAAAAAAATTGTTGGCTAGGATCGAGCCTGGGAAAAAGCAATTTCGGGACTGGTCGTGTGGGCGATTTACCAATGTCAGGGTCGTAAAAAGTAAATGTGTGAGTCAGAGAGGGCGTGGGGCTGAAACACTAAAACAGGACACGTGCAGGACGGCAAGACGGCAGGAGTGGCAAAAAAGGGTCACAAACATTAAAGATAATTGCCGTTATAATTGCTCGGACAGTTGCTGCTTCAATTCTCGCCTCTAATTGAGATAATCGCATTAGGAGCCTCGCCAAGGTGGCTAAAAATGAAAATTAAAACGGCAAGTATGGGTCTCAAGGACCATGCACTTGAGTTGGCCAACGACCGCAAACTGTTGACCACTTAACATGCAAACCTGCTGCTGCAGGCAGCCAGTTAATCACCGATAACAAATGCAAATGTCCCCCAAAACAACACGCATACGCAGCGTGTGACACGGCCATGTGTCACCGTACTACGATTTCGGTTGTCTCGCCAGTTCAACTGCATTCTGTGGTTAAGGTTGTATCAGCTAAATGAAACCGCAACCACAGCCACAGTTTCAGCCACATGTATCATCAACACAACAGCATTTGCGACACTTTCTTTTTTTCCAAATCCAACTCAGCCATAAATTACGTCAACGCAAATCACAATCGGATTCGGCATCAGAATATATATTGATTTCATTATGAAAGCAGGGAATAAGTCAAAAGGAAGTGTTGCTGGGAAACACTGGAAGAATATATATTATTTTACGAATTTTTATGATTACTAGCCTGTTATACTATTAAACTCCGCTCCGACCTAGACTTGGACAATTTTACAAATTTTTAAGATTCATTTCCTTTTAAAAAATAAAGTATATAAACCATATATTGCACGTTTTCTTTCAGTGCACTCTTTGCCAACAGATACATTACAATACGAGCACGAATTCTATCTGATTTTCTTGGCCACTTGACGAGGAATCTGTTTTGGCCCTTATTATTGGCCAGTTTTCCCTCCAAATATCTGTGTCTTTGTCTGTTAGACGGCTTTTCCAAGGTGTGGGTATGATTTTGGCCACTTAAGCTTGATTGATGTGTCAAAATTGTGACATTTAATGGGACGGAGGTGTGAGAACATCTGACATTTACACGTGCCAACGACATATTTAGTGAGAGGCCATAAAAGATTTAGTGCCGTGTTTCCTCACACTTGTTGCCGGACAATTCGATAAGGGCCGAGAACAAATAAACTGAATTAAATCATTAGAGTGTGACAAACACAGGACCTTCATTAGGGGATAAAAGCCAATATTCGATTCAGCAAAAGCCACTTTCATTGACAATTAGGGAGCACAATCCTTTCAGGACACGAAAATGTATTTCAGTAATTTGTCCCTTGGCCTGATTACTTTTTTAATGAAGATTATAGGTTCGTGTTTGTTTTTCCTGTTAATAAACTAGTTTCTATGTTTGTATATTTTTATCTATAGCGATAGAGAATTAGATTGGCAGATAATTTTAATATCACCAGAACGTTTTGTAACCAAGGGCTGATTAAAGCAGTTTCCTAAAATTCTTACTTGTGAGGTAGGATTGTTTTCCATTTATCCAGAATCTTCCTGGAATACGACATTTTAGGAAAATTTAATTTGCAGCCCAAGAGTAGCACCAACAAATCATTTTGAAACATAATAGCCTTGTTCTAATTATAGAACTAATTGTTACAAATTCACCTGCAAAGGGAGGCATCAATTAGGTTTCCTACTAAACAAGCTCTCCCATCTTACAAGGCAATCGACACCAAAGGCATTTATAATGCGCACTGAAAATGTTTAGGGTCCTCCGAACCTACATATATCTTACTTATTTCCAAGCCAGGTCTCCAAGCAAATAAGTTTCTTGCTAGAGATGGGGAAAAGCTTCGTTGCTTTAATCGATGTAGCCTTAGTTTCCGTCATGGTCCACACAGAAAAATTTACAATTACATTTCAATATAAAATTTTACAATGCCTAGCCTTGAAGGGTAATTTAAAGAGTATTTTATATAATATATATTATACAAGTTTCTAAATATTATAATTAAAGTCTTTTTGTGACATTTTTCACTTTTTACGCATGTATGCCAGCAACATCCTTGAACTAAAGAACCCTCCATTTTTCATTTCCTATTTTGCAGCTTAAAGTGTCTGAAACGACAGCCACAAGCGAGGACAAAGGACACGGTCGCAGGTGACCTGTGACCAGAGACAACAACAATAACAAGTATACGCCCTGTGACCGGAGGATTGATGTTCGTGCGAAAGTTTCGAGGCATCTGCCTAAATGTTACGCTCACACAGCGACTTTTAGGGGCAAAGGGAACGTAGATCCGGTTGGAAATCGAAATGAGTGGTGCAGCGGCTAGATTCCTGCTCCGATTGGAGATGCCCTCGCCCGGGGTGATGCCACCGCCGCCCACCGAATACGATTGGGGGCCGATCAGCGAGGACGAGTTTCTGGCCAGCGCCACGGCCACCGTGATGCCTACGGTGCGCTACGAGCTATTCCTGAACACCACCAGCAGCACCACCGCGGCCACTATCTTGACTCCGCACCACCACTTCAACCACACGGATTTGCTGTATCCGCATTACGACGACCCAGGCCAGAACGCGGAACCCAACTGGACAAGAATATGCGAGGATGTCTATAGTCCGGATAATGAGAATACGAAAATCGAGTTCTGGGTATGCGGAGTGCTCATTAACATCGTGGGACTGCTGGGCATCCTAGGCAACATCATATCGATGATTATACTTTCCAGGCCCCAGATGCGGTCCAGCATAAACTATCTGCTAACCGGACTAGCGCGCTGCGACACTGTGCTGATTCTGACCTCCATCCTACTGTTTGGAATACCCTCGATATACCCGTACACGGGGCACTTTTTCGGCTACTACAACTACGTGTATCCGTTCATATCGCCGGCGTTGTTTCCCATCGGCATGATTGCCCAAACGGCCAGCATCTACATGACCTTTACGGTCACCCTGGAGCGGTATGTGGCCGTCTGCCATCCGCTGCGGGCCAGGGCGCTCTGTACTTACGGCCGAGCAAAGATCTACTTTATAGTGTGCGTGTGCTTCGCTCTAGCCTACAATATGCCGCGATTCTGGGAGGTCCTGACGGTGACCTACCAAGAACCAGGGACAGATGTCATCCTGCACTGCGTGCGACCTTCGCTATTCAGGTTATCGGAAAGCTACATCAACATATATATACACTGGTGCTACCTGATCGTGAACTATATAATACCCTTCCTTACGCTGGCGATATTGAACTGTCTGATCTACCGGCAGGTCAAGAGGGCGAACCGGGAACGCCAGAGGCTGTCGAGGTCGGAGAAGAGAGAGATCGGTCTGGCCACCATGTTGCTATGTGTGGTGGTGGTCTTCTTCGTGCTCAACTTCCTGCCGCTGGTGCTCAATATATCGGAGGCCTTCTACGGCACCATCGACCACAAGCTGACTAAGATCTCCAACCTGCTGATCACCATCAACAGCAGCGTCAACTTCCTCATCTACATCATCTTCGGCGAAAAGTTCAAGCGCATTTTTTTACTCATTTTTTTCAAGCGGCGTCTGAGTCGTGACCAGCCGGATCTCATCCACTACGAGAGCTCCATATCGAACAACGGGGATGGCACACTGACCCACCGGTCCTCCGGCCGCTTCTCCCGCCACGGCACGCAGCGGAGCACCACCACGACCTACCTGGTGGCCACCGGCGTGGGCGGCGGGCCAGGCGGGTGCGCTGGTGGCGTTGGCAATAGCTCTCTGAACAACGTCCGGCTGACGCAGGTCTCCGGATCCCCGGGCCTGGTCAAGATTAAACGGAACCGAGCCCCGTCGCCGGGTCCAGTGGTCTATTTTCCAGCCCGTGAGATGCAGCGATCCGCCTCAACGACCACCAATTCGGCCACCAACAATAACACATCTATCGGTTACGACTGGACGCTGCCGGATGGCAAGAAACTGGGGCACGTCTCGTCCGGATTTTGAGGCTGAGGCTGTACTGGGGGCAGGGCAGGGGCTACTCTAGTCCTATAGACATGTAAGAAACGAAAAGCAGAGGTTAAAATAATAGTCGTATTAGAAGTTCCAAGCTCTGAGAGTTAGGGTAGCCTCTGAGAGATAATTACGTCTTGATAGTCCTGCTAATACTTTTGTTATTTTAACCTCTGCTAATACTATAAAGTTTACCTGTACAGAAGGCATCAACTAAACGCTCCAAGCGTTGCGTTACTTTGTGATAAGCGTTAAGTGTTTCCTTCCCAGATTTCTCTTCTATTACTCCTCGAAAACTTTACTCGTTGATATAGATTCTAAGGAAAACGAATAAAAACTCTAGATCAGGCTAAATAACACTCAATTATCCGACTGAGAACCGACTCTTTTTCATTTTTTTCGTCCTGTTCAATCAATTGAGTTTGTATCAATTTTTCAGAAAATTAGTCAGGAAAAGTTTCATGAACGGACACTGAAAGTTGCTACCCAATATCGTTTTGACTTTCCAATGGCCTTTGGTCAAAGTTTTATTTATTAGCGTAAACTTTGCTGTTGCCTTTAATTAAATATCCTTTACAAAGCATTTCACTGAATGATTTTCCTTTTCTTTTTGGTGATTTTTTTTTGGGTTTTTTTCCATTGAACTTTTTGAAGTGCGGAAAAGGACTTGGTAGTATTTCGGACCTAGGCCTTTCAATCTGTCAACTTGTCAGAAAGTTTTTCAAAGTTCAGCTCAAAAGTTTTCGCCACCATTATTTAGTCGCCCTGAACTCAACTCAAGTAGCTCAATTTCAACAATAAAATAAAAGACATTTTCAGGTGTTCATCAAATGAATTATTTATACAGATCCCACAGTTAAAGAATAAAAACCTTGCCATTATGTAAATACTATTAAGGCTTAGTGTAAATATTTCTAAACTACAAGGTATGCAAAGCATAAGCATAAACATAATTTCAATTGAGATTACAGATTCTGGGAAGAGAGGGATTTTCAATTAAGAGGTAGAGGTAATAATATGTAATACTCATTAGCCTCTGCCTTGATTTCGGAAATCCCACTTTACCAATCAATCTACACAAAACTCGTTTAGTTCTAGTTTAGTTTTAATATTATATAGTCATAGAAAATACGTAATCAAAACTAAAATCATAAATAAAATTTCAAGCATCGTGCAAATAAATGGTAATGAGATTTTCCATTTTCGTTTTAATGTGCAAATTATTTGCATCGATTTTTGGGGAGTTTGCACAACACAATTTAGACCAATTTCTGCAGCCAGACGATGGCGCAGTTTGGAAAATGATAACGGCCACTTAGCCCGGCCACTTGCAATTTAATTTTGGGACAGGACCTCCGTCGCCCGTCTAATAATTGCCCAGCCAGTGTCAGACCGATGGCCAAATCTCGGTCTAAGCCACATTTTCATCGGCCACGGCAAACTCGTTTGCCCATTTGCGTAACTTAGTATCTTATGCTAAGCACGTTGGCAGGATGTCGACTTTGGGCAAAGACAGTTGAGAAGCCGGTAATAATGCACAAGCCCCACAAAGGAATTTAAATAATAATAACCATAACAATAAGATACAAACATGCACGCACACAATGGGGGGGGCAAGTGGCAGGAAGATACAAACCTGGCCAAGTGGGGCAACCCTACGAAGTGAATTACACTCCGCACGTGAGCCGTAACCTAATAATGGCTATATACAGATTTAAGATAGCGACAAATAATTGGAACAAGGAAAACCAGAACTGGATATTATTGCGTGTTTCCTGCCATACCCACACATACATATAAGTATAAGGATCTGTCAACAGCTTTACCTGTAATCAGTGTGTCTTTGGTTTGAAGAAATTTAATTTGTGAAGAGCTAAAATTTGTCCATCATTATTCAAATTAGACTTTTCGAGTTAGAGATTAAATTCTACTAAATATTTCAGATTCTAAAACAAAATTTTAATCCCAATAGTACCAAGTACTCTTAGGTAACCACATAATTGAAGGTGTTACCTGGAACTCCGAGGACAGAAAACTCAACAAACACTTTAATTCCCGCAGCTTAGCGACCTGAATCTGCGGCAGAATCTCCTCCGTTACTGCCCCAAAAAACAAAAGCACCGAAGGAGACTCTATTGTTCCCGCTATTCGGGATGCTGAAGTGTCACCAAACTGGGCGATAATAAATCAGCTAAGGATAATGTCAACACCAAAGCCTTAGAGACAGCCACCTCGCCGCCCCCGAGTAAATATTTTGTTGATGACTTTGTTCTTGGCATCGGCATCGGCATCAGCATCGGTGATGGCGATGGTGTTGGTTTTGGCATTTTCCTTAACTGTTTGATGCGTTTTTGATGCTACAAGGATTACCATTATTTTGGCTTCAAGTGTTGATGATGGGCCTTGAATTGAGTCGAGTCAGTGAACGCTGAACACTTTGACAAATGACAGCAGTTTTCGGCTTTTTTGTGACAAACTGTTGACCCTGTCATGGTGTCTGCTAATTAATTAGCCGTCTTTTGTCCGTCCCACAGTGCAGTACACAACAGAAGCATCGAAGCTGTGTAGCGTCAAAAATTTAATTAATGTTGGCCATGTGATTTGCCGGAATTCCCCTTCCGTAGTTTCTAGCAGCAAGTGAAAAGCAAGCCACCAACGTTCAAAGTTCCCGACTTAAGCCGAAGACAATGGCAAACAATGCCAAACATCGGCCATTGTGATGGCGCTCGACAAGGAGCACTTGTTTCCCCATCTAATACGCAACTAAATTCCCCAGGCCCCACTTTATCTCCGCGTGGAAAATGGAAATGGAATTGAGGTTGAAGCTGAGGCTGCCAATGGAGCCGCAGGGGCGGACAGCTATCCATGCCCTAGATCTGGTATTTAACAAAATTCATACTCACCAAACTGAGAGAAAATATTCTAAAACTTTGTTCCTAAAATCAAAGTCATTCTGCGAAAGTAATCACTAATGATATATTATCAGTTACCTATGATATAAATAAATTGTTATATATAGTTTTAGACGGAACCAAAGATGGACTTCTTTTTTTCAGTGTTTTCCTACATCTTGATTTCCCAACAGCCTCCCATAATTAGCTTTCAACAGCCTAGTTCTCAGGATGCTGAAGAAGGATAGGCTGGTTTTTGCCAAAAATAAATAAGAAAGGCTTACCATATCAAATGATCAATAAAACCAATAGCAAAAAACCAACAGTTGTATATTTTTAGACCTTATAATATTACCTTACCTTTAAACCAGTCCGCAATTTTTTGTTCAGAATAATTTTCCCATAACAAAGACCAACTTAAATGCAGTTTATTTAGGCCGCTTATTCCCAGTTGTAAACTCAATGTCAATAATATTAAAACCTTAAATAGCATTAAAACCACGTGTGAAATACAAAAACAACATAAGTGTAAAAACAACATGGAAAATACAATGGCACTTGCCACTCGACTCTCACATTGTTTTCCCATTGAGTCACAAAGGAAAGCTTAAAAACACACAAATAGACGAATATAAATAGACAATATTTACAAATTGTGACATTCAATAACTTGGAAACATGCTGAAGTGACACCTATTCGCAAAAGAAAACAACAAAAGAGCACACAGGCTGAAAAAAGGACAACAGATTGCGAAAACACACTTGGCGACGCCGCTAAGTATGCTACACGTTTTGTGGGCCATATTTTTGTTAGGATGCGGCCCAAAAGATGTCTGGCGGCGAAAAGCGTTTTAAAGATACCGGAGGCGTGTCCATGGCAGCCATTTTGTGTGGCTGTTTAGAAGAGGTGCACTAAGAAAAAAGTAAACAATATTACACGTAAAGTAACTCATATCAGGACCCCATAGTCTGTTTATTTCTCGATAGCCACAACTTCAATAGCATTAATATTTTTAATGTTAACACTATATCTTTCCTAAACCTCTTTCCGAGCTATAATACTTCCAATTATTAAATATTACTTTAAGTTTTTTTATTAGTGTAAAAAGGGAGAGACATTCCCGACCAACATCTGTCGGTCACGCTCTTCCGTGATGGCGATGAAGTGTCAATCCCAATCCTGCTGCAAGTGTTGAACTTTTGACGAGGGAAACCTCAAAAATAAACCCACACAGTTCCCACACATTTGCGGTCTATTGCTAAGTATTGATTTTATGCAGAAATCAAGGAAAATGCTAATTTACAATTTGCATGCGGCTACCAGGGACAAACTTTAAGAGAGGAACTCCAAAAGGTGACCAAAACTTGGTAGATAGACGTCCGGTATAAAACACTGCTTCGTCTTGTCCTTGCTATCCTTCATCTTTTGAGCGTCCTTTAGACTGTGGACTCCTGTGCCAACAAGAAGACTATTGAATCCACAATTGTGGGCAAACGTCATATCCGCTGTCATTCTGTTAAAAAAAATATTCATTATTTATAGTGAATTAATATCCTTGATAAAATCTTACGTATCCCCAACCATTAGAGTTGTCTCTGGCTTGATAACGCCACACTCTAGCAGAGGATGCAATATCCAGGGATTAGGTTTGCCAAGGATCAAAGGCTGGCGTCCGCTGAGGGCCTTTACCGATGTCATCATGGCACTGGCACCCACAATCACCTTCGTATGTCCGTCGAAAGGATAGGAAGCATCCATGCTGGAGCCTAAGACTATCACATCCGGGTTCTTTAAGTAGGCGGCAGCCCGGATCAGGCGGGCCATGTTGAATCGCTCATCCCTGCCAATCACCACGGCGCCAACGTCGGGATCTAGCTCCAGTTCTTTGGCAAACTCATGCATTGGCTTATCCATCTTTTCGTCCACCTCGATATGGGTGATGCCGACTTTTTCCAACTCCGCATGAAGACCCATTTCGCCCATGACGAATGCCTTCTTTCGAAAACCCTTGTTCTTGAGAAAATTGGCAATAGAGGAGGAGGCGGTCTTGCAATGATCCTCATCAATCTTGAAGCCAAGTTCTTGAGCTCTTTTGGCACAACTCTCCGAGGGCAGGGCCGAGTTATTGGTTACGATGTATAATTGCCGTCCAGTTTCCGTTACGCGTTTAAAGACTTCTGGAGCGCCATCGATGGCTTTAGTAAAGTGCCACAAGACTCCGTCAGCATCGCAGATGATGGTCTGGATGTTCTTGACCCACTTGAGGACCTCTTCCTTCGGAATTTTGGTCAGATCGGTGCAGCTTTTTTTGAACATGGCACAGGAGCGTTAGGATTTTCAATACCTAGTTTTAAAATTTTATTCTTGTCATATTTGTAAGAGGTAACTAATGTATCTTTGTAAATAACCCTATTTTTGACGGAAGTGTCTCAAAGTTAAAAAATAAACTTTATTGAATTTTATCTTTAATTCTTTAACACGTATTATTCTACCTATTTCGGGAACATAAAAAAGGCAGCAAATGGGATAATTTGGAAACAAACTTATGTGGGACTTCTTGATACTTGAAAGGATCAGAGGATTCCTGAGCCGCTAGGACGTCTTTGTAGCTGCTCACTCCTGTGCCTACCAAAAGGGTCTGAAAACTGCAATTATACCCAAGCTGGATGTCCGTCGACATGCTAGTAAAATATATAAAATATAAAATAAATAATACCCAATAAAGGTATTTAAATGTGAAAGACTACTCACGTATCGCCCACCATCAAGGTACGTTCCGGCTGAAGGAGTCCCTGCCGTATCACGTTGGAACAAAGATGCGGCTTTGGTTTGCCGCAAGTGTAGGGAGCCCGCAGACTGGCCGCCTGTATGGCTGCCACCATCACACCGGCACCGGGAATCATCCGGCCAGGAGCCACAGAATAGGCCAGATCCCGATTGGTGGCCACAAACATGACATCCGGATCCCGGAGATACCATGTGGCCTTGGTGATCTTTTGGGCGTCAAAGTCCTTGTCCATGCCCACCACAACGGCACCTACATCGCGATCCAAAACTATTTTGTTGATAAAGTCACTGTCTGTGTTTGGAGGATCTAATGGGAGGCAGCTAATCCCAACTAGCTTCAGTTCGTCCACGATTCCCTGGCCTCCGATAGCGTACACCTTGCGTTTGAATTTTTGTTCGCTTAAGTACCGAGCCGTAGCCTGACCGGAAGTCAAGACTTCGTCCTTTGCCACCAGGAGATCCATACACTTGGCTTTCTTCCAAACCGCGAAAGCCGAATCGGATGAGTTGTTGGTGCAAATGTATGACTTTTTTCCCATGGCTCTCAGGGCATTAAAAGTTTCAACTGCTCCTCTAATGGGCTTATCGTACTGCCAAAGGACGCCATCAGCGTCGTACAAAATGGTGTCTATGGTCTTCAGATACTGGTGAATACTGTACTTGTTTAGGCCCAACAACTGACAGCCGCCCTTCGCGACTTTACGGTTCAGGGCTAGATTCATCTTTGCAGATTAGAGTGTCCTGAAACGGAGATTTCGTTTCGATAAAACAATGACAGGGTTTCCAAAGTCGAACCTTTAATAATTATATATTTAATCAAACAAGTTATTTAAACTTCTTTAAGCCTAAAAGCCATTGTTAATTAGATTTAGTTTCTAGCAATTTTTGGCTGTCGGAATCAATTGAAAGTTTTGACCCGGTTGTCTGGGAATTCTTTCGCAAATTTTAGTTCCTCAACTGTCAAGTGACGACGACTCCCCAGGAGCGCATGGCAATGTCATCGGCGACGCATTTAATTCACTAAACTTTGCACATTTGTTATTTGGCCAAAAAGGAGAAGAGTCAGCAGGAGCCAGGACCAAGTTGCGGTTCGCTGGCGTGGCAAACGTCGCGGACAACTTTTAATTGTGCGCAATGAGAGAAGGCCAAGTGGCGGGTGGTTGTAGTGGTGGGAGGTGGCCTCAACCACCCACTGGGTGATTCCACTTTTGTGCTCCAGACTACCAGTTCCAATCTCCCTGGGGAGCCACTTCTCTTGTTAAGTCTTGAGGACAAATTTTCGCCTCTTCATCAGCATGGGAAAAAAACAAGGAATCATATTGAATTGAAATTTTTATTTCTTAACAAAAAAACTTAAGGCAAATCCTTAATTTTGAATTCAATATTCACTACGTTAGTAACTCTCACTGATTATTTTCCTCACTGTATGTTGTTTTCTGACATCTGGGCCCGTTGCGCCAATTAAAATGGCATTCGGCCTTATTGTTGACAACGTTGCCGCCTTCGAGGAGGTCCTTTCCAGCCGTCCCAAATCCGACACTTGTCCGGCTCCAAAGTCCAATGCAAAATCCTCACCGGATTCCACCGTGCCTTGACATAAATTCATTAAATCTGCTTTTTCCCGTTGGTCATTTCAGGGATTTCCCAACGCCAGACCGCGTTGAAACGCCTCCGGTAAAAGTGTTCAGAAGAACCTTTAAGCCCCAAACCCGGACCCACCTACACAACTCAGAGCTGCGACGTGGTGTATACTCGACTTTGCAAAAGCCAATGCAAATTGGCCAACGAACAAAAGTGCCGCCGGGCCGAATCAAAAGCTAACGAGCAAACGAGGCTTGCCGCATTTCTTTTTTTTTTAATTTCCGCTTTCCCGCCAATAAGGATTCCTTTAACATGTTATACATGTTCATGTGATGAATTTAATAAGCTCTTTTAAATGCATAAAGTAAGTGAATTCAGTAAAGAAAAGCGATATTTTAAAATGGTTATCATAGCAGTCTTTTAACTTACTAAATTCAGAAAATTTCCGTAGTAATTAAATAAATTAAATTCGATTAAGTGTTTGAATTTAATTTATCAATATTCATCGATCGCTAATTATAAAAAAAAGTTAACCACCGATATGTGTCAATGTCTCATGATTTTGATGCAGAATGGTGGCGAATCGAAATTGTTTAAGGTACTCCGCTTGAGGATCGGATGAGAATTGGCCAAGATATAGCCATCACCGTGGAGCCTATAGGGGAAAACCCCATTTTCAAGGGATCCCCTCATGAAAAATGGACGAAAAATCTAAAAAATATTTTGTCCCAGGATTTTGATGCAGAATGGTGGAGAGTCGACCTAGAAATCGTTTAAGGTACTCCGCTTGAGGATCGGATGAGAATTGGCCAAGATATAGCCATCACCGTGGAGCCTAAAGGGAAAACCCCATTTTCAAGGCACCTCATCACAAAAAATGGACGAAAAATCTAAAAAATATTTTGTCCCAGGATTTTGATGCAGAATGGTGGAGAAACGACCTAGAAATCGTTTAAGGTACTCCGCTTGAGGATCGGATGAAAATTGGCCAAGATATAGCCATCACCGTGGAGCCTATAGGGGAAATCCCCATTTTCAAGGCATCCCCTCATGAAAAATGGACGAAAAATCTAAAAAATATTTTGTCTCATGATTTTGATGCAGAATGGTGGAGAGTCGACCTAGAAATCGTTTAAGGTACTCCGCTTGAGGATCGGATGAGAATTGGCCAAGATATAGCCATCACCGTGGAGCCTAAAGGGAAAACCCCATTTTCAAGGCACCTCATCACAAAAAATGGACGAAAAATCTAAAAAATATTTTGTCCAAGGATTTTGATGCAGAATGGTGGAGAATCGACCTAGAAATCGTTTAAGGTACTCCGCTTCAGGATCGGATGAGAATTGGCCAAGATATAGCCATCACCGTGGAGCCTATAAAGGAAAACCCCATTTTCAAGGCATCCCCTCATGAAAAATGGACGAAAAATCTAAAAAATATTTTGTCTCATGATTTTGATGCAGAATGGTGGAGAAACGACCTAGAAATCGTTTAAGGTACTCCGCTTGAGGATCGGATGAGAATTGGCCAAGATATAGCCATCACCGTGGAGCCTATAGGGGAAAACCCCATTTTCAAGGGATCCCCTCATGAAAAATGGACGAAAAATCTAAAAAATATTTTGTCCCAGGATTTTGATGCAGAATGGTGGAGAGTCGACCTAGAAATCGTTTAAGGTACTCCGCTTGAGGATCGGATGAGAATTGGCCAAGATATAGCCATCACCGTGGAGCCTAAAGGGAAAACCCCATTTTCAAGGCACCTCATCACAAAAAATGGACGAAAAATCTAAAAAATATGTTGTCCCAGGATTTTGATGCAGAATGGTGGAGAAACGACCTAGAAATCGTTTAAGGTACTCCGCTTGAGGATCGGATGAGAATTGGCCAAGATATAGCCATCACCGTGGAGCCTATAGGGGAAATCCCCATTTTCAAGGCATCCCCTCATGAAAAATGGACGAAAAATCTAAAAAATATTTTGTCTCATGATTTTGATGCAGAATGGTGGAGAGTCGACCTAGAAATCGTTTAAGGTACTCCGCTTGAGGATCGGATGAGAATTGGCCAAGATATAGCCATCACCGTGGAGCCTATAGGGAAAAACCCCATTTTCAAGGCATCCCCTCACGAAAAATGGACGAAAAATCTAAAAAATATGTTGTCCCAGGATTTTGATACAGAATGGTGGAGAATCGACCTAGAAATCGTTTAAGATACTCCGCTTGAGGATCGGATGAGAATTGGCCAAGATATAGCCATCACCGTGGAGCCTATAGAGGAAAACCCCATTTTCAAGGCATCCCCTCATGAAAAATGGACGAAAAATCTAAAAAATATTTTGTCCCATATTTTGATGCAGAATGGTGCAGAATCGACCTAGAAATCGTTTAAGGTACTCCGCTTGAGGATCGGATGAGAATTGGCCAAGATTTAGCCATCACCGTGGAGCCTATAGGGAAAAACCCCATTTTCAATGCAACCCATCACGAAAAATGGACGAAAAATCTAAAAAATATTTTGTCTCATGATTTTGATGCAGAATGGTGGAGAGTCGACCTAGAAATCGTTTAAGGTACTCCGCTTGAGGATCGGATGAGAATTGGCCAAGATATAGCCATCACCGTGGAGCCTATAGAGGAAAACCCCATTTTCAAGGCATCCCCTCATGAAAAATGGACGAAAAATCTAAAAAATATTTTGTCTCATGATTTTGGTGCAGAATGGTGGAGAGTCGACCTAGAAATCGTTTAAGGTACTCCGCTTGAGGATCGGATGAGAATTGGCCAAGATATAGCCATCACCGTGGAGCCTATAGGGAAAAACCCCATTTTCAATGCATCCCATCACGAAAAATGGACGAAAAATCTAAAAATTATTTTGTCTCAGGATTTTGATGCAGAATGGTGGAGAATCGACCTAGAAATCGTTTAAGGTACTCCGCTTGAGGATCGGATGAGAATTGGCCAAGATATAGCCATCACCGTGGAGCCTATAAAGGAAAACCCCATTTTCAAGGCATCCCCTCATGAAAAATGGACGAAAAATCTAACAAATATTTTGTCTCAGGATTTTGATGCAGAATGGTGGAGAAACGACCTAGAAATCGTTTAAGGTACTCCGCTTGAGGATCGGATGAGAATTGGCCAAGATATAGCCATCACCGTGGAGCCTATAGAGGAAAACCCCATTTTCAAGGCATCCCCTCATGAAAAATGGACGAAAAATCTAAAAAATATTTTGTCTCATGATTTTGATGCAGAATGGTGGAGAGTCGATCTAGAAATCGTTTAAGGTACTCCGCTTGAGGATCGGATGAGAATTGGCCAAGATATAGCCATCACCGTGGAGCCTATAGGGGAAAACCCCATTTTTAAGGGATCCCATCACAAAAAATGGACGAAAAATCTAAAAAATATTTTTTCTCAGGATTTTGATGCAGAATGGTGGAGAATCGACCCAGAAATCGTTTAAGGTACTCCGCTTGGGGGTCGGATGAGAATTGGCCAAGATATAGCCATCACCGTGGAGCCTATAGGGGAAAACCCCATTTTTCCTCATGAAAAATGGACGAAAAATCTAACAAATATTTTGTCTCAGGATTTTGATGCAGAATGGTGGAGAAACGACATAGAAATCGTTTAAGGTACTCCGCTTGAGGATCGGATGAGAACTGGCCAAGATATAGCCATCACCGTGGAGCCTATAGAGGAAAACCCCATTTTCAAGGCATCCCCTCATGAAAAATGGACGAAAAATCTAAAAAATATTTTGTCTCATGATTTTGATGCAGAATGGTGGAGAGTCGATCTAGAAATCGTTTAAGGTACTCCGCTTGAGGATCGGATGAGAATTGGCCAAGATATAGCCATCACCGTGGAGCCTAAAGCAAAAATCCCATTTTCGTCCCTTACGAAAGATGGACGAAAAATCTAAAAAATATGTTTTCTCATGACATAGTCCTACCATGTGCGATATTTGGCCGAAGTTAGCTTTCCTTTTTTGTTTTGTTTCAGGCAGTTGCACACGAAATTCGAAAAGTGTTCTCAATTTCCTCAAGTGGAAAATGCTTCGGATTTTCCTCATTTGCCTAGTTCTCAATTTGTTCGAGTATCGGGCTTAAATCCACATTGACGGACCGAAGTGCACTCGCCGATGGTTGAACCAAAAACAAAACCAAAGGCTCTGTACAAACGAATTCCAATTCCCAGACATCAAGAGCAACATTAACAAATGAAATTTTAAGGAAAAAGTTTGCCAAACTTTGCCAGCTGACCCTGAACCCAGTCCAGGATCCGTAAAAAGAAAACCAAGCGAGACCGAAACTTTTTTATTAAGTTTACAGGACCAAGTTAATTTCCCGAAGCCCGAGGCTCACGCCCTCAGAGCCCGTCGTTGCCTGTTTTTCCTAATTAATACCTCGAGACTCGAGCTGTGCTTAGAAATAAAACACAGGGAAAGCAAAAAATAATAATAAAAAAATTACAAATCCACTTGATTTATATGCTAATCAAGCGACTTGTGGCCTCTGGCGGTGGCTTAGTTGCTGACCATCGACAGTGACCTAAATCAAATTAAAGTTTGCATCTTCCTGAGTGTTCCTTCTGACTGTTGAAAGACATTATTACCATCCAAGATGTGAAATGGCAGGGGAAACTTTAAATTATCCGCTATCGGCGAATAAATCATTCACAGATACCATCATCAGCTGGGTCACAAGGCGCAATTATTTGCCGAGAATGGATTGCCTCGTGCCAGGAATGTTTGCTACTTTCCTCCATCTCTATTTGTTTTTCATGATTCATATAGTCGAACTGATAGTACCCTGTATTCTTCAATATTTTCTGTTAGATCCTATTTAAATAGATAATGGGGGATTAAGAATTATAGATTGTTTAGCTTAATTACTTAAGAAATATCTATAAAGTCCTGCTCATCTATGTTACATTAAAACCCATATACCCTCTTTAGACCTCGAATTCGATCCCTGGCATAATCTCTTTTGAGTGGTGAGTGATGGACAGCCTGTGGGGGAGGCTTTGGGAGGCCAAAGATGTCTCGAAAGCCTTCAGCTGCATTTCACCAGCTTAGCAATGCTTAGCAGAATTGAAACGTTTTGCTGTTTTATAAATAACAACCACACGCCAGGGCCAGTCCATTCCGACGGAATGAGGGAAAAACAAGTAAAACTAGAGCATGTTGCCATAGAGATTTCCATAAATGCGACAGACAATTACCAGCACTGGCACAAGTCGACTGTCGAGATTGAAACACGAGCATGAATTCCAAGATTTTTCAATGTAATTTCAAAAGCGGAAATACCCGTCGGATGCATCCAAAGGATCCACTTCAGCATGACGAGTTCTTTCTAAACCTGCACATATGGACATCATTTCAAAGAAATTAATTAATTCAGTGTTTAAAGCTTTATACTAACTAAGTTACTTTGACTATCATTTTAATGTTTGTCTAATTGGACTAAACACAAATTAAGATACAAATTCCTTGTTCAGACAATCAGTACACCTTGGTCTTCTTCATGAAATGTAAATGCCAAACGAAACGAGCTTATTGTGAGGGCCATGCCGGACCATCCGTCTGGTCCTTGTCGACCCTGGACGGGGCTCACGCTGCGTATGAGCAATGTCACTGCGATAGCCTTCGGGGGCGGCAGAATAAAGGACTCTCACTGTTCGACTGTTGAACGGTGTTGGGCTGCAGTGTGCGTACATTAAACCAAATTACAACACATTATAATTTGTGACAAGAGTGTCCCCCAAAATTCATTTGAGAGATTCGAGATTTGACAGCCAGCAAACATGAAAATAAACGAGGAAGGATATCAGAGATTGGGCAAGGACACAGCCTTTTCCCAGACGCTTATATTAATGTTTGGCCTTTCAACAGGACCTGATTGCGCAACTTCTGTGTACAGGACTATCGAAATGTGTTTGCAATTTGTATTTGACTAGGATTCATGGAAGGCCTTTAATTATTTATCTGATTGTTTTGATTTCTCTTGAAATTAAAATTAAATTTCCTTCATTTCAAGTTCTATTTGAATGGTTACTAATGGCTTTCAGTTTGCTGAGCCAGCTTGTGCAAAACCTTCTATAAAAGTAACAATTTTTCCAACCACACAGATCGATTCACGGCTCAACACTCAAAATAAATAGTCGGACATATTTCAGGCATAATTAAAGCCGTGGCAGCCACAACACGCGACGTCAATCATTGTAATTTATAACGTAAGCAGAAGCGTAACCAAACTTAAGCCATTATTTCCGCTTTATGAAATGGAAGCCGACGCTTTTGTTTTCCTTTTTCCACCAATGGTTTTTCCCCACCAAACACACACAGTTTTCCCCTGTTTACAGTTACTTTTCTGCTTGCTTGATGTTTGTTTTTGCCGCTGCCGGTTGCCGGTTGCCGTTGTTTTTGTTGCACATTTGCATTTCGTGTCCCGCTGACCGTTACCGCTGCTGTCTGCCAGCTGCCGCCACAAACGGGCTGTCCATTTCATAAATCATGCGGCCCACACAGACACCCAGCCCACATGCGTGTGCGGCAAAGGACTAGCACAAAAATGCACTCAGAGAAAATTAGAAACATGTGAACAAATAGGAAAAATATTTTTCAAAATTTAAGACTCATTTTTGGCAGTGCATTTAGGCAGCTAACTTACGACTGGCGCGCATTGATTTACAAGCTCACAAAATGCTCCACTTTCAGCTTTTAACCCAAAAACCAAAACCAAACCCACATGGTATACAATTCCCAATTGGGGGAATATTAATTTTACGTTTAGTATGCATCTGAACGTATGATCAGACATCTAAAACAATTATTTATTTAATAAGTTCTCTAATCTGATTAAACTCCCTCAGTGCCCAAAAAAGTATGCTACAAAAAGTTAGCACATGTTGCTAGAAGGGACTTCAAGATGAACTTAACTAATTTAACTTTTTAAAGTTATTTTAACTTTAAATATAATGCCTAATTTTAATTAACTTAAGGTATACTCCTTCGTGTTCGAGTTGGCGGAAAACCACTGCGATAAATGCTTAGCCTGCCATGGTAACATAACCAAGACAAGTCACAAGGACTATTTGAGGTCCTGCCAAGCGGCAACCACGCCTCTTGTCAGGCTTTCTAATCAGCCGCCACTTGCTGACCCACTTTTTTTTCGGAACCAGCCAACCAACCAACCATAGATGACAATTTAATAAAGCAAATTGTGCTGCTAGTCGTGGCAGAAAGTTTCTCTGCTATTTGGATTAATCCATACCACTTGCCACTTGCTTCCTCATCCACATCCGCATCCGCGCCCATATCCGCATCCGTCTGCGTCGTTAATCAATTAGGTTGGCGCTTTTATAGGATTGCTTTCATGGCTGGGAGGGCGGAACATGGTAGGTTGTTTGGCCTGTATGTTGCCACTTAAGCTGTTATGTATTGATTCTATTTATATATATTATATGGACACTGGGGAGGGTATATGCTCCCTGACGATGCCCCGCCACGCGCAAATATAATTAATGATCAAGTGTCGGCGAAACAAAAAACTTTAGTCATCTCGAATGCATTATGTAAGCCGGCGTATTGAATTTCATTTAGCACACGCGTCCTCCTACTTGGCCGAGGTCCTTCGCGTGGCCCAGGATTGTTCTTGACCAAGTCGAGATAAAGTTGTCCCCCTTGAGCAGCCATCTCTGGTCTCTCTCAGCCATTTGTTAAGTTTGTTTATCCTGGCCAAGACGATCCCTCAAGTCAACTGCAAGTCTGCTGATTTATCCAGAGGAGTAGTTTTCTGTCTAGAAAGGAAATAAAGTTATTATTTGTTCTTTATATTAGAAAACTTGTAAATTTAACAAGTCTAACTAAAAATTAATAGTATTTTCTTAAGGTTATATAAATCTAATACTCTTTAAATCCCCACAACGTCCCTGCAGCTTGCACACATTATAAATATTTACGAGTGGGAGTATATTCCTTGGTGACTTCAGAGGTTGCGGCATACGATGACGGCACACTTAAGCCAAATGGCCAGTGTCCTTTCCCGCAGGACACACGCCATGAGCTCTTTTGCCGATCATTTTTCTTTCCCAGGGAGACGACCCGAGGCATATTAATGATGTCTTTATGGAGGCACCATGGGTCGCCCCAAAGCTGTGCCCCATGTAACTGACTTACCCGCACAATTTACGAGCCTGGTGCATCCATCGGGTAATTAGAAAATAGAAAACACTTTAAATGCTGATTTATGTGGCTGCAACAGCATGCAAAGGCATTGCCACAGTTCTAGTGCCTTCCAAGGTGAAACCAAAATTTTCTACAATTTTCTAATTTAATTTTCAGGAAACAAACTTAGTCCTGAAAACTCCTTACTATTCACTGACTTCTAAAGAACCTAGCGACAAAACTAAACTTAATTTACTTATTTTGAAAATGCATTAGGGCTCCTTAAAGGATTCTATTCACACAAGCATTAGTCATTTGGCTGGCAGTCTATCAACTGTTTTTACGACGTGCTCTGGGAAAGTTTTGCCGGTTCGAGCTTTTTAAGCCGACTCGCCAGAGAAATGGCTAGGACGCGTGCCTGTGTCGAGAAGGCTAAAACACATCGATACATCGTGTTTGCAAGTTTGGAGGCGGAAACTTCGTTAAACACACCGCCGGCAACAGACTCCCAAATGCACATGACACTCCGACTAATTGAGCCATAAATAAGGGGCATAGGTTTATTTTCCGGCATAGACAGTGGCTTTTACAGTTCGGGGAGGTCATACGGCATGGGATCCGGAGCCTGTTCCTCCTCCACAGTCTCCTCCATAGTCTCCTCCACAGCCTCGAAGATACCACCGTCGGTCTGGTCCGGCTGCTGCTGCTGGGTGATGTGGATACGTTCCGGCTTCGGGGGGAGCTTGAAAGTTGTGGCCATGCGCTGACGCAGTGGTTCCATCTCCTCCCACAGCTCCTTGAAGTGATTGCCAACGCCGGGGGGCTGGTGTTCCACCACACGATTGACCAGGTCCTTGAGGATTAGCTCCATGTCCGCGTGATTTTCTCGCCCCAGTTCTGCGCTGACGTACAAAAGAGTCTGTAGGTTGAAGACCAGATCCTGTGCAGACTCAGATTCTATTTTGAGGTTCTTCTCGATCGCCGCCCTCTTGATGTCCATTTCGGCCTGGTTGCGGCACTTAAGGTAGATATCGCCGGCAGGACGGCACTTGGAGCCCAGCTCCTTCTGCTCCTGCTTGTGGAAGGCGGCCAGATGCTCGTGAAGAATTTTCAGCGGAGCCAAGACATCTGTATTAACGCGGTGCAGAGTAATCATATTGGCGGCATAGTGACGCTGCAGCCTCTCCCTCTGTGGAGTCATCTTGATATCGCGACGGGTGGATGTCGAGGTGTACACCGACTGGTTGCTACCCTCCACATAGTCCTCGTTCATCTTAGCTATCTCCATCACAGCCTTCTGTTTGATTTCCGAGAGTTTCTTCACCTTGACCAGGGATTCCAGGAGCTTTCTGCTGTAACGATTATCGCCAATTGGCTCAGATGGCTCGTTCTTCGCCGCCTTGGACGCTCCCTCAGCGGCGTGCAGCAAAACGGGCAGCGGTAGGCCTCCGAAGTTGTTATCAGCGTGGAGACGATAGTCCGGCAGGCGCACCACCAGCTCCTGGCCTTGCATATCGAAGCGCACCATGTAGCTGTAGTCCTGCGGCTCATAGCTCATGACCTTGCCGTCGATAATGCCCATCTTGTAGAATCCTTCCAAAAACGATGTCACCTTCGTGCCAATATTCAGGGGCAACGGTACGCTCTTCGGAATCTGCTCCATATAGGGGGCGTGCTCGTCATTGTTGAACTTGCACTGTTGCAGCTCCCTGACCATGCGGCGTGAGCGCTCCAGCTCCTGCCGCTCCAGCTCTATGAAAGCGGGGGAGAAGCGCCTGGCCTTGCCCATGTTCCGGCGTAGGAGCTGCCAGCCACGCCGAGGCATGCTCCGGGTCTCGATCATGGGGCAGCACTCGTGGATGAACCGCTCCATGTCGTAGGCAATGGCCATGATGGGTTTGTCCAGAAACGACTCCACGAACTCACACCAGATCCAGCGGTGCGAGGAGAGGCAATTCAAGAAATTGTGCAACCTGCAAAGTAACTTTCTTTAATAGCGTTCAACACCAAACTTATAGATAGAAGTAATTACTTCTTGCTCCCGGGTATTGAGTAAAAGGACTCATCTTTTTTCTCAACTTTCGGAAACACCGGCAAGAATTCAGAATGAGCTTTCGTATGACATCTAGACGGTTTCTTGACCCGGACCCGGTCGTAAATGGGACGCTTTACGAAGAGTTCATCCTCGCCGGTTCTATCTGCCAACATCTTAGACGGCATCGCCTGGTAATGGGCCTCCATCTGAGTCATCCGTCGTGTGGTGCAAAGTCCGATCTTAGCCAAAGCTGGCGGAGTCAGACATCTCTCGCGCTTGACCACAGAATTCAAAGTCTCTGGTGCACGTTTAGAGGACATTTTCTCACAAAAAAATTAACTTATTCTTTTCTTTCGAGTCACAAACTAATAAAAGTGTCAAGTTGTAGCCAGAGTTGCCAATTAGCTTTACAAGTATCTGTCATTAGCGTTGTGAGTAATCGGGCGCCATTTTCAAAAAATTCTAGTTTAAGAAATAAATTTAATATTAAACACTTAAAGGATATTTATCCTTTGAAATACGTTTTGTCACATAATCTTCTCTTAATTGATGGAAAAGGATTTTCTTTCTTGCACTTTTCTCGAGAAAACTGTTATACAAACTTAATACTGTTTAAGCTTATGCAACCCATTATCTTGAAATTCAAACAAAACACAAACAAATGTCCTGTTTCCATTGAAATCCTTTCTGCATTTTATTGATAATTCTTGTTTTGCAAAACAAACATGCTTTTCTTGGTTTTGTTGGCTGGTTTTTGTTCATTTCACAGCTCGTTATAGCCATGTGCTGGCTCTTGTTGATTTTCCAAATAAAATCTGTTGAATTTTTAATTTAAAAAACTTTTGTTTGATTTTCGCTGTTGCTGCTGCTGCTGCAAATGGTGCAAAATCGAGGGAGGGGGCCGGCGGTGTGGCAACTCAATTTCTGGGAAAATAGTAAACAGCCAAAGTTTTTGGCCAGAATCTCTGTGTGAAAGACTGGCCATTGGGGCGCGTAATTAATAAAGTTTGCATACGACTAGGAATCGTGGTGCCACGCCCTAAAACAGGCAACAACAAATTTGGCTTATAGAAGAAAAAACAACATTATTGGCTGTCAGCCATAAGCGTACTTTTGGCCTAATTTTCGTCTGTGTTGTGGTAAGTACTTTTAATTTGGTAAAGACACTTGAAGAATATGGCCAAGATGTAGGGCTTTTATTAACATTTTTTTCAAAGGTATCCTCTTAGAAAAAGCAGAATAAATGAATCAAGAATATAATATTTTAATTATATGAAGCTAAATATTACCAAAACCTATACACTCTATATTGTTTGCAGTGCAACCAAACCACAGGCACGTTTTGTGGTTATTTTTTTCCACGAAAAAGGAAATTGGATATCAAGACTTAAAGCTCCTTGAAACTTGAAGATTTCCTTTGCCATCGTCCTGTCTTATCGATTACCGCTCTCACCTCAGTTCAATTTTCTGTTAATACAAACATTCGATGGCACAACCAAGAAGATACCACTTTTAATTTGCATTCCTGCTTGCCAGGACTAAGCTGCGGGTAGTCGAACTGCAGGACACCTGCTGTTGTTACTCATTTAATCAGCAGACAGGATGGAACATTGCGCTTGAAATTAAAAAGTCCCCAGCAAATGCCAGACAAATGGGCGTACACACGTGTGTTTTGTATTTTGTTGTGTAGCCATTGCCAGGATTTCACTGGAGCCAGGACCATCAGGATCAGGACTCGAAACACAACATTGACATTGAACTAATGAAAGCTGCAGGCGCAGACATCCTCCAGAGACTAAGCCATAGAATGGGCCAGGATATGTCGTGCCAAAGGGTTATTCATGTGTGCCCCTGTTCCTATACATATATCTGTATATAGACAGTATATTCTTGGCTTGGAAGCAAGCGACTGATATTTTGCTTTTGGTTTCATTCGGTTTTGGCCAGCACTTGAAGAAAACAATCAGCGGTTGTTTTTGGGATTTAAATGTTAAAATGCTCCAAAAAGGATAAAAGCTATAAAAGCTATATGTCTTATAAAAGTTAATAGCTTTTAAACTTTGACAATATATAAGCGTTAATTTATTTTTTTCAGTGCCTTAGATTAAACACAGCACGCGGTCTCCAGAGTCGCTTCAAGTTCCAAGTTCCGAGGACACTGTTGAACTTAAATTCTTGGCCTGACAGCTTTAGCTTTTTACTCATCTACACGGCCGGATCTTCCTCGAGTTATCCGCTTTCGGCCACAACTGCTTATGGCTTTTACTGTGCATTTACAGTTTATGACAGTTGGCGGCCATTAAATTTTTGTCGAAGCCAGTTTGTATCGTTCGCCACATGGGGGAGAAGCTGGCTTATCGTCGCTGGACTGCTCCTTCACCAGCTGCAAGGACGCACATATTAATTGATTCGAAACTGTGGCAAGTGTCCAAGTTGGTCTTTAAATTATATATTTTAGAGCCGCTTGACAAAGCCACTTGGTAGACGACCAAAGTCGATGGACAGCGACTTTTTCTTGGACAGCGTATTGAAAGCAAAAACCAGACTTGCCAAGGCTAATAGTCGATTTAAACTCTTTTCAAAAATTCGACCAATTTTTAAAGAAAATAGTATCGAATTGAATATATCGATAAGTAAATTGCATCTCTAATATGGTTCAATCGAAGTAGTAGGCCATTTCTTTGGACCGTTTGGGTTATATCCCAAATCGAGCAGAGATTTTATCATTCTGGGCTCGACTGCCAAGCTATTCGGTTCAGCTGATTCATTTTTATTTTATTATTTTTGTTTTATTATTTTTGGTTTTATTTTATTCGTTTTGAATTGGCCTTTTCTTTATCTTGGCCTTGGGATGGTCCATATTTTTCATAAGCATATAACTGCGTAAGTTATTATGCGTCTTTATTATGTTGATCTTTGTTTTTTTAATTTGAGTTGTAATTTTATTTATTTATAATTTTTTTTTCTATTTTTTGAGTTGGAACTTTTTAATCCCATATTCAAGGAGTTGTTGATTCGAGGAGCCACAATTTGTATTCATTATACTGATATTTTCTTTACTTTGTTTATTTATTATTTTATTTTGTGAGTTGGAATATCCATACTCTCCATTAGTATGTATATAACTGCGTAAATTATTGTACATCTGCAACAATTTGTATTTATTATATTGATCTTTTCTTTATTTTGTTTGTTTTTTATTTTATTTTTATTATTTTATTTTGTGAGTTGAAATATCCATGCTTTCCATTAGGATATATACAACTGCGTAAGTTATTGTACATAGGCATCGATTTGGATATATTATATTAATCTTTTCTTTTCTTTATTTTTTTTATTTAATTTGAGTTCGAATTTTCTTGACTCTGAAACTTATTTCCTAAGTTGATTTTGAGTTAAAACGTTTTTTTTATTATTTTAATTTTTTATTCTTTTCTTTCTAAACTCCATTAGTATGTATATAACTGCGTAAGTTATTGTACATCTGCAACAATTTGTATTTATTATATTGATCTTTTCTTTATTTTGTTTGTTTTTTATTTTATTTTTATTATTTTATTTTGTGAGTTGAAATATCCATGCTTTCCATTAGGATATATACAACTGCGTAAGTTATTGTACATAGGCATCGATTTGGATATATTATATTAATCTTTTCTTTTCTTTATTTTTTTTATTTAATTTGAGTTGGAATTTTCTTGACTCTGAAACTCATTTCCTAACGTTTTTTTTTATTATTTTCATTTTTTATTCTTTTCTTTCTAAACTAAATACGTTAAATATGTTGGCTAAATTAAAGCTCTCCCTGCTTTTATAATTCGTTTCTATATCTTGTTTTATCTTTTTCCAATTTCATTTTCGGATACATTATTTCACTCCTGCCTTGCTCTGTTCTTTTGGAGTTCTCTCAGGTTCCTCTGCTTCATCGGCAAGACGTTCTCTTGAATCTCCTTCCCTTATTTTATTTAATTTATATTTCAATACTTCATTTGGAAATATATTTCAATACTCTCCATTAGGATATATATAACTGCGTAAGTTATTGTACATAGTTATTGTACATTTATATTGATCTTTTCTTTTCTTTATTTCGGAATATTTATTTTTTTTGGAATATTTTATTGGAGCTATTTTTTTTACATTTGTTTTATATATTATATATTGGTTCTAGTTTGTGCAACTAGCGTATCGGCTAGACGATTTCTAAAATCTTCTTTCCTTATTTTATTTCATTTATATTTCAATACTTCATTTGGAAATATTTTCACCGTTTTTTTTATTTTCTCGCATATATTTTACATTTAGTTTAATATCCACCTTTTTTATATTTTTTTCGTTTGCCATTAGCTCTAAAAGCCACCAATTACAGCCGAAGGAGACGTATCTTACATACGTCTCAAAACCGGCCCTCGTTGCTCATTTTCTTATTTAATTATAATTTTATTTATTTTATTAATTGAGTTGGAAATCTTTTGATTTTAGTTGAAAGGAAAAAAAGTTTTTATTTTTTTGTTTCTGCTTTCCATTATATTTCAGTACCATTAGCGATATACCAGCAGTGCCTGATCGAATGCCATCATTCTGGCTTTGGCGCTTTTAAAATTTATTTTACTTAATATACATATTTTTTTTTTAGAAACTTAAGGTGGAATCCTCTCTTCCCCATCTCTAAAATTTTCATCTCTGCGGAAGTTATTGCAGGCAACAATTTGTACTTATTATGTTGATCTTTGTTTTTTTAATTTGAGTTGGAACTTTATTTATTTTTTTCTTTTTTTTTGGCTTTGGCGATTTTTAAATTTTATTTTACTACACATATATATATTTTTTGAGAAACTTAAGGTGGAATCCTCTCTTCCCAATCTTTGGGGATCTTTGTTTTTTTAATTTGAGTTGGAATTTTATTTATTTTTTTTTGTGTCTATTTTTTGTGTTGGAATGTTAGTCCTTATCCTCCTGGGAGAAGTTATTGTACGCAAAAATTTTTATTTATCGATCTTTTCTTGTATATATATTTTTTTATTTTATTTAAGTTGGATTTTTTTTTATTTATCTTTTTTATATTTTTTTAATTTTTTTTTTCAATTGTTAATTTTTCTCAAAATTAGTCTTTGATTCTTTTGATATACATAAGATGGTTTCCTGGTTTTTTTTCTATATTATGGTTAATTTATATGAGTTTAATTATTATTCCTATCTTAATTTTTTTTTTTAAGTGCAATCTCATACATTTGTCGCATTAATTGAAAGCGCGAAAATGACGGGCGAAAAAGTTTTTGTGGCGCAACCAATTTTCTTGGTCTGGACAAATTTTTGGCTT